TTGCATTATGAGCTTAGTTTAGACAAGTAACTATTTGAAGGAGATATTTGGGGACAGAGAACTTTTTCTTCTTCCTTTCTTTCAGCCTGAGCCCCTCCACTTTTTATATTTCACCTAAGATTTCTTCAGAAACAAGGATTTCACCTCTTTGGACGGTGGGATGGGATTAAAAACCACTTGTTTAGACTAAGCAGCTTATGTTTGGATGTTACCCTGAAGAAGTGTAACCAACCTTACACATAACCATTCTTCTCTGGCTCTCAGTGCAGTGTTAGAAGTGCTTTCCTTTTAAAAATGGTTGAGTTGCGTTCGCTAATATAACTGATGCATTAGTTGTGACTCTGGTATGTGTTCAGATTGCAGCTCCCAAATACAGGGTTGGGCAAAAGTAGGTTTACAGTTGTGAGTATGCAAAATATGGAGTTTATTCTTGTATTATTATTAATTATTGTAGTATTTGTATTGCAACTATAAACCTACTTTTGCCCATCCTGTATTAGTAGCAGAGTTATGCTAGCAGGTGATGGAAACTAGGACTCATTATCTATTTGATTGTGTATATTCTGCCATGTTAAATTAACACGTGTTCTTACTAGGAACGTGGGAGACATCATATGAGAATGAATATAAAATATGCAAAATTATGTGCTGGAAAATGCCCCGCTAAATCCACACATGTAGCAGCTTAAAATACAACCTGGAGAGGTTTAATTTGGAGATTTTTTTCTCTCCTGGCTTGATTATTTCTCTATGCCTGGTCAAAGGTTTAAGGTTGGGTTTTATGGGGTTTTTTGGTTTTTGTTTTGTCTTACTTTCTAATGGCACAATTATAAATGCTCTTCTGTTTTTCTGTTTGTTTTTCTACCCCTAATAACAGGGACTGAATTATACCACCTTTGATCCGGCAACTTTGTAGAGGGACTACCATACATAGGCCAGCCCCATTGACTCTTGGTGTGTCAGGTCCTGCAGGCCTTGCCTTGAGCCTGCTAAACTGGCACTATCATCTGTTGGGTTTCCCTTCATCTTTCTCACTTAGAAGATCCAGAGTACACCTGACTAGATCCAGGACTTTTGGCACAGCTATATTTTCATAAGTGATTATAATTACGTTCCCCAGTTAATGACCTCTTTGCTTCAGTAAAGTCCACAGTCACTGCTGTTGTAGAATCAGCCTATATGTATTTCCTCATGAGACAGGCTCTCTGCCTTTATTTACCCTCTTGGTAGTTGGAGTAAAGGATTATTTTTGCTTAAAGAGGAAAGGGGTGCATGCATTTGATCAGTCTTATTGTATATAATTTATGTGGTTTTAATTCATCTGTAGCCTAGGGCTGTGGATCTTAGATTTTTATTTTGGTCATCCAGTGAAAGCATGTGAGTAGGAGTTTGGCCCAGGATTAGTAAAACTTCAGTGTTTTGGCCACAGTCAGTAGGTAAGGGTATAATTTGCAAAGATCAGTAGGAAAAAGGCATGTGACTAAATCATTCATTCAACAATAAATTTAAATCATTCTGGGGAAAAAATGATTTAAGTCTAGTTCATCAAGTGTTACATGCTTACCCAAAAGCTACTTACCTTCAGTTGTGTTAATAAAACACTTCCAAATGTTTGTTCTTTTATTAATAGGTCGTTGAGCTTTCCCCAGATTCTTAGAAGTTAGAAAATGTTTTACTCTTTCCATATTGTGTTTTTGATTAATGAAACCAGGGCCAAAGCATCTTTCAGAGTAACTACATCTTCCTGACAAACTTCTATTCTGCCAGTAGACCCAGTTACAAGTATAATTATTTTGCACAAAATTCCCCATCTTCCCTCTTACTGACTTCCTCTTCTCTGTCCCACTGCAGGACTACCAAGACTTTTGGTAACAAGTGACATGAACCAAAGCTCAAGCAAAAATGATAATTTGTTTGCTCTTATTTCTGAAAAATCGGGGGGTAGTGGGGCTGGCTTTCAGGCACAGGTGGATTGAGAACCTTACACAGTGTCAGCAGGAATCTCTCTCTCCCTTTTTTCTCCATGTAGTGGCAGGTTCTGGTTCCCTTTTCAGCATCACTGTCAGCCCTGTTTCATGCACATGCCCAGCTCTGTACTTGTCTACACAGGTAGGCTACTCTAATTGGTTGACCTGAGTCATATACACACTGCTCTAAAGGACAAAGGTCTCCTCCTAACTGACCACACATCAGCGGCAGGGCTTGTTCAAAGAGGAAGTTGGGCAGGCAAAAACAATACCTTCTTTACTCCAGTGACCTCGTGCCTACTGTGAGCTCTAAGTCTGTTCCCTAGAATTGATGGACTGTTGAAGGGTAAGAACTGTGTTCTGTTAATCTATTTCTAGTTTGTTGTCTGGCAAAGTGTAGGTGCTCCAAAAATGATTGATGAACAAATGAACAATGGAACCATTCTGTTAAATTGAATATTTTCCCCTTTTTATCCCATGAGCTGTGAGGTTTATGGTTTGGCTGAAGGGAGCTCTCCTTGGTATTGGGGATAATAGTGCTGACCTTGTGAAAATGGCCATTCTGATAGTCAGGATAGCTCAAGAGAAAGGATTAGCCAGTAGGGGACAAATCTGGAGAGAAAGCAAGCCCATCTCTACACAATGTCATTTTCAACATTATTATAAGACATCTTCCTCCCTAAGAGTAATGACTAAATATTTTGTCTTTAGCTTTCTTTCTATTTAAAAGTGAAAAACTGTCCTTAATCTCAGGCAGTGAGTTTCCTGTTTACTTCTCTGCCTACCCTTCAGTCACTTAAGGTATGGACACCTTCTCCAGATTTCTAATTCAGAAGGCTTCTGAGGGATGGGGAGGAGGCCAGGGGTAATTCTTGTAAAAGTATTTAGACAGGAATCAAATAGTAACATTAATAAACCCTGGAGCCAGGCCTTGATTTGAAGTTGTCTCTTAACTGCAGGCAGGAGGCTGAAAAAATATATATATAGGGTCCTTGAGCTCTTTTTATAGCCCATAATAATTGACATTAACTGATAGTTTGTTGGAGGCTTTCTTTCAAGGCACCTTTGGCTGGCTTGTTAGAGACTAGAGAAGCTGCAGAAGTATACGCAAGAAATGGTAACCGTAGCCCCTTCTGGGAAGGGGTGCTGCATGGCTAGAGGATAGGAGTAGGGGAAGCCTTCTTTGCTTGTATTCTTGTGCTGTGTGCCTGTTTTGTATATTGAGAAAAGTGTTTAAAGCAAAGCACACACACAAAGAAGAATCTTTGTAAATGCTTATTGAGACTTATAAGTTTTGGTAACATATCCAGATTCAGAATTTCTAGGAGTTACTGTTTGCTTTGGTAGGTGTCACCCTTTTTACTTTTGTTCCATTTTTCATAGTTAATATTGATTTTTGGATTGGAATAATAAATAACATGGTATTACATTTGGATTAGTTGACTTTAGGATTGTGGTTTACAAATGGTAGTGGTATCATAGAGTAACAGCCTTTCTTAATTAGAAAAGCAAGTTTACATGTATTACATTTTAATTCTTTGATGCTTTAGCTTTTTGAGTTTTGCCTTTGTTTTTGGTTTTTAGAACTGCTTTATATCCTGCAGAATTGATTTAGATTATTAAGTTGATGATAAATTGTTACCGTATTTTATAAGAAATATTTATGATCTCATTGGAAGTTATACACATTCTCATCCACCCAAGTTTTACTAATTTTATTTTTTTAACCATTGTTTTTAAGGACCTTGGGGAAAATAGATCTAAGTTTTCTTCTTTGATATGTCATTTAAATAATTTTTCAATTCCCTCACACACATACAGGCTTTTCATTTTTCAATATCCTCTAAAGTCGTATAACAGTTACCATTATTTGCTCTGATGCTGTACCCAGCTTTCCCCATCTCAGCATTCATTCCGTGGCCATAAGCAAGTTCCTTTGTCCAGCCAGGTATGGAACTGGCTGAGAGTCAAGTTACACAATCATTAGTGTCTTTAATTTGAGTAGTATACAGAAGCTTTTAAGAATGTTCCTTTAAGAATACCGTAGCAAGCCCTGGCCAGTGTGGCTCAGTTGGTTGAGCATCGTCCCGAGCACCGAAAGGTCGCTGGTTCGATTTCCAGTCAAGGCACATGCCCAGGTTGCAGGCTCGATCCCTGGTCTGGGCACATGCGGGAGTCAACCAACTGATCGATGTTTCTCTCTAAAATCAAAAAGATATTTTATTTTAAAAAGAAAGAATACAAGTCATTTTAAATAAAAGACTAGCAATGTTCGAGACAATTCCCAGACAACAAAGGCTGCTTTTTCCTGACACTCAAAATTATGTGGTAATAATGCTGAAATGGTGAGCATTTTCTATTTTCAGAGGTTCGACATCACGAGGAGAAAAGCACTCACACTTGATTTTAAAATAATCAATTGGTATTATTAACCTAATTCTCAACTTTAAAAGTCCATCACCAAAAGTTTAATCACAATTGTGCTAGGCTAGACTCAGTCAATCTGTAACATAAAATGTCTTGTTAAAAATAGAAAAGATCAGAGAGCACTTGTTTTGCCTGCCTGCTTTAAGTATTCAGAACATAATAGAATGTCTACTTTTTTTTTTTTTTTTTTTTTTTTAAA